GCGCGGCCCCCCGCGATAGCGCTCCCCCCCCCCCTGCAGCGCACCTCCAGTGCGTCCTCCACGCTGAACCCCGTGGCCAGCTGGTCCAGCAGCGCGTCGGCCGCCGCAGAGAAGGGCGGTACCTCGGCGACCTGCGGGATGCGCGCCAGCTGCTGCAGCCAGCGGACCTCCACCAGCACGCGGAAGCGCACCAAGCCGTACTCGCTGAAGGTGCGGCGCAGCGGGTGCGTCGCGCGGCCGTAGCGGCTGGGGGCGGGTTGGGAAGGGGCAACGGGGGGAAGGTGATGAAAGGGCCTTGGGCAGGGCAGGGTGGGCGTGCCAGGGTAGAGGGGCATGCTAGTGTTTTCGTGGGGTTGAAGACGGCAGCTGCCAAGGTTTGTGCTGAGGAGAATAACAGGCGTCATGACGCTCCAGCGCTGTGCTGCGGGCCCCGACGGCAGGCTGCATCGCGCAGACAGTTGCTGGGGCGCAGCCGCTCCGCCGCGACAGCGCACGCCCCGTATGCTGCGCTCACCCGTCGAGGGGGCTGACTGCGGTGAGCTCAGTCAGGTCCAACTTGTCCTGCGGCACCGTGGAGATGGGGATGCCGGCAGCGACAAGCAGCGATAAGCACAAGGCAGTCGGCGAGCCCGCCGTTTCTACACGTGGCGGGAGCTGCTGCCGCTGGTGGTGAAAAGCTGGTCCGCGCCGATCGCGCCGGGGATCCTTAACACCGGGGTGCATGCGATGGCATGCAAGAGGCGCGTCGGATCGGAGGACCGCCTCTGTTGCACGGCCGCCACGGCGTCCCTGGCGCGCACACCTGGGCGGCGGGCTGCGCAGACGGCGCAGCGGCGGCAGACGCGGCGCCGGCGCGAACGGGATGCATTCGGGCCCTCATTATTTGCCTTGATGGCTGCCTAGAGGGTGCGTGGAGGCAGGGCTGCTGGCGGCCAGCGGGTCCGCGGCATGCGGCCTTGCAGGGGTCTCCCAGGAGGCTGGCCATTTTTACAGAGCTTCACAGAATTATCAGTGTATGATGCGCTGCGCCTTGACAGGGCAAGGGTCTTCTTACGCGTGGGGTTACAAAACTGGACACGGCAAGTCAGCAGGAGTGAGAAATGCATGGCTTGACAGGGCTGCAGTACACCATTCATTGACGCGCTGATGCAGGTTCCATCATGCTATTGTATTATCGATAGGTGGCCATAAATAGAGAGATCAAGACACATTTTCACACATCGATCTCTGACCCGGATGGTCTGAGCCTTCACCAACACACTTTAAAATCCGCCTCTGTGCCAGGATGTCTATCAGGGCGTCAGATACCTATGGGGGCCGCGATCGAGAGAGGGCGGTCCTTTGTCTTGTCGCCGCTGGGTCCCTGGTGGCGGGGGCGGGGCTGTTCTGGGCCACAAAGCAGGCTTTGGACTATTATATCCCGTACCAGGTAAGGGGCGCTCCACTATCGAGGCACGGCGATCTTACAGTCCGTCAATATCGATGCAAGCTTCCCTCGTCTCCCTGCAGTACCACTACCGTCCCGGGACTCTGAGCGGATGGCTGGCGAGCGCGCTCAACAAATACTCCAAGCACCGGCGACGTGAGAGCCCATGTTGGCGGCCGGGGCGGTTGCGCGTCATTGTGCCACATCGCTGCTCACTCTAGGGGCCCTTTGGTAATGCTCCAACGCCGCCAACCCCTGGAATCCTCACCCAGGGACGCGGCCGGTGAGGGTTTACATGGACGGGTGCTTCGATATGATGCACTACGGCCACGCCAACGCGCTGCGCCAGGTGCGGCCCCATGCCTCCCTGGAGATCGCACCGGGGCAGCTGTTGGAAGATGCCTTGAAGGGCATCGAGCCGCGCAAACCCCACCCAACAACGGAGCTCCTTTCCAGCTGCGTTGCCTCACCGCTGGACCGGCGCTTGCATGTGCATGCACCAGCAGCCCGAGGAAACCTTTGTAACTCTGTCTTGTCCTGCGACCTTGCACGAACCCTTTGCATAGTACCTGCCGCACACGCGCATGCGCATGCACACGCGCGTTCGCACCCCCAGGCCAAGGCGCTGGGCGACGTGCTCGTGGTGGGGCTCATACCGGACGCGGAAATCCTGAAGGTGACACCCCGCCTGGGAGCAGCACGGCGCAGCAGGAGCTTTGTGGGGCGGGACAGTGCCTTCGACCAGGGGCGCCCCAGCCGCGCGGTCGAGGCGTGCCTGCCGACGCCACTAGCAGCGAGGAGCGCTCCGGCTGCCTGCGTCGAGCGGCGGGGTGCATGATGCGAAGCCCGGAGCACGACCTGGCACCGCCACCGATGCTGCAGCTGCTTGGTGTATGGCTTCAGCTTGTTGGGCACTCCAACTGTTGGCCAAGGCGCTCAGCCGTACTGCGTCGATTGCGGATGCGCTCATGGCACGCAGGTGAAGGGCCCACCGGTCCAGAACGACAAGGAGCGGTACACCATGGTGGAGGCCGTGAAATGGGTGGACGAGATCATCACAGGTGGGCGTGGGGAGGGGAAGGGGCTGAGGAGGACCTGGGCCTTGTGGCTCACCCTTTGTGTGCACGCCGCTGTGGGGCGCCGCAAGGGCCGCGGCAGTGTCACTGTCAAGCTCTCAGGCGCAGCAGCCTGGGCCCTGCAGGCGTGGCCTGACTGCTGTCGTTGTTGGCCTGTGCTGTTACCGAAGCACGATCTTCACCCCCCACCCCACACATACGTGCACACACACACACACACACACACATGCACATGCACATGCACACGCCACAAACGCACACACATGTACACATCACGTAACACGCACACAACCCACCAAAGGCGTCCCGTACGACCTGAGCCCCGAGTTCATTGAGGAGCTCTTCAAGAAGCACCGCATAGACTACATCATCCATGGGGACGACCCCTGCCTCATGCCGGACGGCACGGACGCCTACGCGCACGCCAAGAAGCTGGGCCGCTTCAAAGTGGTGCGCCCCGCCGCCGGGCGCGGCAGCGTGCAGCCGTGCGGCATTCCTCATGAGCGGGCTGCTGGCAATCGTTGTGCAGCTGTGAACGCGCCGAGATCCGGGGTACAGCAGGCCCGTTTACACTGTGCTGCTTTGCCGTGCTGAATCGTGCGCGCAGATCAAGCGCACCGAGGGCGTGAGCACGACGGACATTGTGGGGCGCATGCTGACCTGCACGCGGCCGACCAGCTTCAGGGAGCACGCGGAGAAGGTGCGGCCGCCTACGCGGGAGCGGCGTGGTCTAGGATGGCAGGCCGGTACAGAATCATGAGGCATTGCGAATGGGAGGGACAAAGTTCTTGTTCAGAGCAGCCGAAGCTTGGCAGGAAATGATTCTGCAACCGTGCGGTTGCTGAAGTGAAGAGTTGGAGCGGCAGGTTGCGGGGCACCCCGCTCTCACTCGATGCAAACGCGCCGCTGCGTAACCAAATATCCCTCGGCCCCACCCCACCATCCCTGGTTCCCCCCCTCCCCCTACAAACTTTACGGTGGCTGCAGGGCCACCCTCTGACGCGTGTGTTCACTGAGCCACATCGGCCGGACGACAGCAGCGACGAGGAGGAGGGCGCGGGCGGCCAGCAGCAGCCACAACAGCAGCAGCAGCAGCAACAACAGCAGCAGCAGCAGCAGCAGCAGCAGCAGTCGGAGGAGGTGCGGCAGTTGCAGCCGTCGCCTTCGACGGGGGGCCACAGGTTGCCACAGCGGTCGGCCAGCAAGAACACGCGTGAGTCGGCGCGGCCTGGCTGCACTGCCCTACCGCCCAAGGCGACGACCGGCCTTGCGCCTGTCTTATGCTTTTTGCACACTCTTTGTGTGGGTTTATCCCCTTGATATTGTCCAAAATCACTGTGACGACATGCGCGTGCAGAGACACACGTGCGCGTGCGCACGCATGCGTGCACACACACACACGCCGCGCGCGCGCGCACGTGCGCACACATAGGCAAATGACACACACACACACACACACACACACACACACACACACACCACCCCAGGCGTGTCGCGCTTCATGCCCACCTCGCGGCGGTTGGTGCAGTTCAGCGAGGGCAAGAGCGCCCCCGACGGCGGCACCACCGTCTACATCGACGGCGCCTTCGACATGTTCCACCCGGGGCACGTGGAGATCCTCAAGGTGCGGTGGCGGCGCCACCGGCCTGCTTGTGCTATGGGGGGGGGGGGTAGGGCCGGCGCAGGGGTCTCTGATGGGGGGCGCGCGGCCGCGCCTTTGTGCAAGCTGAGTGGTTGATTAGGAGCAAGTCGGCAAGCGCGGTCGACCTCAAGGGGTCTCGCGTTCAAAGTATGTATGCGCAGCCTGCATGGCTGAGCGGCTGCCCTCGCATGAATTGGCTAGGCGCCTTTGTCGGTGAGTGCCTGCCCTCTCACGCCGCCACTCCTGCCTGACGCCCGCCGGCGCCGCGCGATGCCGGGACCCGACCAGGCGGCCAAGGCGCAGGGCGACTTCCTGCTGGTGGGGCTGCACTCGGATGAGGACGTCGCGAAACGCAGGGGGTGAGCTCGCAGCGCCCGGTCGAGGGGAGTGGGCATTTGGGGAGCAGCGGGCCTTTGGCAGCGCGCGCAGGCAGACGGCAGGTGGTGCGCGCGGGGCGCAGGCGTCGGTGTCGTGCCAATGTTGGGTGTTCGACAGTGCTCCTCCGAGTGCGCCTTGACTAGCTACCCCAACAATCCCCTTCTTTCCTGGTATTCAGCTTGGCCGGTGCATGTTTGTTGCCACGCACTCAGCACCCAGCAAAAGTGCACATGCCGCACCAGATCAACTGAGCCGCTTGCCACGCGCGGCCACATGCACCCCATCGCCCCCCATCTTCCAACCTCCACCCCCGGCTCCCCCCTTTCATACACCCCACAGGCCGCACATGCCCATCATGAACGTCCACGAGCGCGCCCTGAGTGTCCTGGCCTGCCGCTACGTCGACGAGGTCGTCATTGGGGCGCCAGAGCAGGTGGGGAGCGTCGAGCCATTTGTGGGTTCTTTGAGCGCAGCTCATCCAACACACCAACGGCTGCCTGCTTGTGCTATGCACTTCCGCAGGCTCCTCAGCTTCTTGCACGGCAAACGTGCAGACAGCATAACATTTGCGTCAGCATTCTGCCCCCGCCCTCACCTCCTCGGCGCCGCCCTCGCCCTCGCCCCAACACTTTCCCTCAAACCCTGAAGCCGCCTCACCTGAACACCCACTTCAACCCTGCCATTCACGCCAGGTTGACGCCAACCTGCTGTCAACCTTCAACATCGGGTTGGTGGTGCGGGGTAGCCGCAGCGAGACCAGCCAGCAGGGGCCCGTCGAGCCCTACAGGTGGGCAGCGCACACACTGCGGCCTCTGAATTGGCGGGCCTGGTAACCGGGGGCAGCCTGCGGGCAGGACTGCAAGACTGGGGGCAGCCTGCGGCAGGACTGCAAGACTGGGCAGGCTGGGGGCCTCACATAGCGCCGGCACTTCACCTCCAAGGCCATTTGACATCCGCGCGCGCGCGCACACACACACACACACACACACACACACACGAACGTGCACACACATGCACACACACACGAGCGCGCATGTGCGTGCACTTGCGCTTCAACACACACACACACACACACACACACACACACACACACACACACACACACAAACACACACGTCCCACCACCACTGTCTTCCCAGGTACTCCCTGCCCAAGGACCGCGACATGTTCCGGGAGCTGCCCTCCCCCTCCCAGACCACCACCCGCAACATCATAGAGCGCATTGTCGCCAACCGCGCCGCCTTTGAGGCGCGCAACGCCAAGAAGGCGGTCAGCGAGGAGAAGTACTACCAGTCCAAGGACGGCAAGGCGGGCGGCGGCGCGGCGTTCGTCAAGGAGGTGTGACGACGTGTGATGTCATCTTGGTGCTCAAGCTGTCAAGTTTGGTCGGACTTGGGTGCTGCTCCTCGTCCTCTGCCACTGAGCCCCTGCTGCCTGCTGCAGCGGGCGGGGCGCGAGGCCCTTTGGTCTTGGTCCCCCACGACATGCATGTGCGAATTGATTGCGGCTGTGCTACGTTTTGTGTTGGTTGCCTGGCAAGTTTCGTGGTGGGAGCGAGCGATTGAAAAGTTCATGTTGGATGTACCTGTGAGCCTCTACACCCATGCAACCCTGTGCAATTGCCCTGTAGCGTTTGCGGTACCACCAGCAACAGACGAAGCCAGCTGTTTTTGCAAACATGCAGCCCTATTGATTGTGCCATTCAAGCAGATTTACTGGAAGAGTGGGCGCGACAGGGGGCATCCGGAACATGCACCTATGCGCCTGAGACGCCAGGCCGCCAAGGTGTCTAGTGAACAAACTTTTCAGCGCCAGTTATTGGACGCAAAATGAAGGGGCAGAAGTGGTGTCGCGGCCCTCGCCTCAGCGGCGAGCGGCTACACGCGGCCATCGGCCCCCGCGCACCCCCACTGGGCAGTGCCTGCACAATCATGCACGCTTGGTCTGCAGCTATAACATGAAGATCACACTTTCGAGGCGTTTCGGCCACGCGTGTACAATGAATGGCTACATGCTGAACAAACTTTGAAACGTTGGTGCATCACGACAGCCGCAAGCCCGGCCGTGTCCAGCACGACCACTAGGGCCCGCGCTGCGGCGCCCAGATAGCGGGCCCGACACGAGGGCACGTGGCTTGCGGCTGCGGGGGCCTTTGTCTGCTGCTGTCTAGTCGAGGGTGATGTCGGTGTTGGCGGCCTGGAACTCGGGCACCTCAACCGGCCCGTCAGAGCTCTCCTCCTTGACCTCGGCCTCCTCCGCAGCCTTGGCCTCGGCGGCGGGGGCGGCGGCCTGCGGGGAAGGGTGTGAAGGGGCCAGGTGGGGTTGTGCGTCAGTGTGGCAGCAGGTCCTGTCGATCGGAATGGCAAAGTACGGGCCGGCCTCGCTGCCGAGGTGCTGTGAACCCATCAAAGCAGGCTTTGGAGGTTGGGTGAGCATGTTGCAAGCACCCCAGCATGTGGAGGTTTGCGGAAGTGCATGTCCACCGAGCAGTGCCTCGGCGGCTGCTGCCAGCGTTGGAGAGCAGAGACGCCCTCTCACCTTAGGGGCGGCCTTGGGGGCGGCAGCCTTGGGGGCGGCGGCCTTGGGAGCGGCGGCCTTGGGGCCAAGGGGGGCAAGGATCGCCGCGCCAGTGGGGGCGGGCACAGCTGCAAGGGTGTGGGGATGGAGGAGAGGGTCAGCCGGGGATGTGGCCTTGAGAAATCGCTGCAATGAGACAATTAAGAAAGGCGGAGCTGTTGGGCAGGGGGCTTCCTGACGAGCGGCTGCTAGGCTCAAGGTTGAGGCAGCTGGCTGAGCGGGTAGCTGACGGTCCTGGCCCCAAAGGCTGCCACGCACCGCCGCGGATGGAGATGCCGGGCACGGGAACAACCTTTCAGGACGGAGGGAGGCGTTTGCGAGGCAAAGAGAGAGTTGGGAAGTGCAGCCGCGGCAGGAGGGTGCTGAAAACAGGCTCAAACACGCGAGGCGGCTGGGGCCCCTGCAAACAGACGCCCCTCCCTGCTGTAAGGGGAAAGGCAGGCGGGCAGACAGTGCAATCGTCCCTCAAGCCCAACATAAGCCTTAGCCTCTCGATCAGGCGACCGCGCCCACACTCCCCCCCCCCTTCCCCTTGAGATAGCCGCAGCCCCAGGGGTGAGCGTGCCCGCGCCCACCTTGGGCTTGCCGTTGACGAAGATGGTCGTGCCGGCGTACTCAATCTTGCCGGAGCTGGTGGTGGTGGCCGGCTCAATGGTCAGGCCGGACTTGTACGTGACGACGAGGGGGGAGGACAGGGGGCGCTTGTAGGTGATGGGGCCGATGTTGCCCTCCAGCTCGGCCTTGGGGGCCGCGCTGATCTGCAGGGAGAAGCCATCGTCGCCTGTGATGGAGATGGGGCCGGTCTGCGCGTTCAGGTCGACGTCGTCGGCCTTGAGGGACCTGGAGGGGGCAGGTAAGGGCGGGATCGGTGAGGGTGGGGGCTGGGTCGGGGCAGAGAAGGGCAGAGGTGGAGTGGGGTGCGGCGACTTATTGGCAGGAGCTGGGCATGCTTGGAAGGGCACTATGGAGGAGCTCTCTAGGGTGTCAGGGATGTAAAAAATCTCAAGATACAGCATGCATAGGGCATGTGCATGGGCGTGCAAGTCGTTGCGTCGATGGCATGGCCGCACAAGCTTGGGGCAAGGGACCTGCTGCATCGCAACCTGCGCCGAGCGGTGACCCACCTAGCAGCGGCACAGCCCGCAAACAGCAGCACGCTCAGGGCAATAGCCTTCATCGCCATTGTGTGTATGTGTTCGAGCGAAGGGGCCTGCGTGCGTTTGCTGCGGATGTCGATGTCGAGCACGAGGCGAGCGTATGCAACGAGAGCGTGCTGCTGTTGGAAGTTTGTAAATGCTGGTAGTAGTGGATTGTGAAAGTATTGAATGAAGTCAGGCTTCAAAAGGACGATGCTTGTCACCCCTCACCGCTTGTAACACCCAGCGGATTCGTGGCGTTAGTCAAGGGCGTCGGGGCCGCACCTGCAGACCGCCCTTGCCCGTAATAGAGCCTGCAAAGCATGATTGATGTAATGAAACAGCACTTAGCGCATTGTGGGGCAGATGCACGGAGTGCAAGAGGCGTGGGCTGAGCAAAGTTGCCGACCAGTGGGACCATGCAAATGCCTCGCTTGTGCTGACGCCCAGCACCTTGATGGGGCGGAAGTGACAATGCTGGCCACGCAACACACACGCAACCCTGTTGGCACTCAGCCCGGACGCTGCTGCCACGTGGTTGATGGCCAGCACCCATGGGTGGTTGGGTGACGCGAGCTGGCCTCACCCCAAGATCGATATGCGCCGTGCTGCTGACCAGCCGTTTATACAAGCCGTCCGCAATGCTTGAGGACAAACTTGGGCCCAAGATACTTGCCAAGCATGCCACCAAGCTACAGCACCTGCCACATCTTTCCGCAGTGCAGGCATTGCCAGGCTGGCCTCGCTGCCTGCACTGATGGCAGCGCCCCTTGCTCACGCGGACAGCACCCGCTGCGAGGCGGCCGCCCATGAGCAGAGGCCGGCAAGAGCATGAGGTTGCGATGGACAGCGCAGGTTCTTACACTTTTGGCGGACCAGGCATGTGATCACTCACATGCTAGAAAAAATCGACGACTCAGGGCCTGGCCAGGCCGATGCTTCGGGCCGCGGCCCCCAAAGCGACTGCGTGCAGTTGGCCGGCACGAAAACGAAGCACCCAAAACAACGAACAAGAAAAGAGGAGCGCCGCCGCACCCGCCGCCTCGCGAGCGCCTCCAAGCATCACGCGTCCAAAGACAGCAGCTGCCGCACACCTGCCGCGGGGTCGCCCTGCTTGACGAGGCTCTCCCCCACCAGGATGGCGCCGACCCCCGCCGCCTGCACAAATGCCACATCGTCGGGCGTGAATATCCCCGACTCCCCGACCATCAGGATGCCGCGCCGCCGCACCTCCTGGCCGGTGGGGCTGTCCATGATGCGGCGCGTGAGCGCCAGGTCGACCTTGAAGGTGCCCAGGTCCCTGGTATTGTTTTC